CTGCTTTAGTTTTCTTTGCAAAATACCTTTTTGCCTAGGAAATTTGAATTTTATTTTAACTTAAAGTCTTGTTTTCTAAGATTTTAGAAAGTTATAATTATATTTTTTTACAGATTTTTTTTACTACTTTTTTTAATTGATTCAAACTTGTATTGCAGATATACGCTGTACTTCAAAGTGACTGCTTGAAGAGTGCAGATGAGTGTTTGCGTCAGTACGTTTATTTGCAGGATGCAATTCCTTTTTTACGAGAACTGAACGGGTTAATCAATAAATACCTTTTACTACCAAAAGTTCATACGCCTAAACAGTTCCTCGATAGAATAATCCTAAAGATTCCTCCTATTGAAGATATTTTGGCAACAGAAGACACCGAGGATACAGAACCATTCAGATTTGTTGTAAACTTGCTCAATGGAAAGCTTCTAGGGGATGAAGTTTTAGATCAAAATACAGATATAAGACCAATAGTGGAGGATGATATAAATTTCAAAAAAAGTATGACTATAGTGAAAACTGTTGACTGGATCTTGCAACAATACAATATCCAAGATATTCCGATGGTTGCTAAACACAGTGAATCAATAAATCGTTACAACACAAACTTGTATAGAAACCACAAACCTCTTGGATATAACACCAGTGATCTGTTTGAGCCATTTGATTTTGGAAAATTAGACTGGATGGGATTATACAGCAGTCAGTTATTGTCTCAGAGAAAGTATAGCCGTAGAGGGAAGAGAAGTGGGTAAGTTGTGCAAAAATAATAAATATGTTTGCTTATCTTTTATACATGTTCCTACACTCATCTCCATTCATACTTGGCTAAAGTACCTACATTTGTATGGTCGCCATTTCGGAATAGAGTATTAAAACATCTTTGTAGGGAATGTACTTCACTAAAAACAAAGTCTTATAGAAAAGACTCGAAACATTTCGTGGTTACAGATAGAAACACATTATGGATAAGTGAAAGTAAACTACTACTAAAAGTTTAGAAAATGTTTTCGTCCTCTCCTTCAATGATTGCCAAAGCTATTAGTTTATGAATGTTTTCTTTGTTACTTTTTGCATATTGCATAATGCAGTAAGTTAATTTTAATAGTTATTTTATCATTGAATTATGAACTCTAATCCTAACTTAAGAGTCGTTACCATACTACCAATTGAGATGGGGCAGAACTGGGTGCATTTTAACCCAAATATGAGCAAGTAATCAAAGTGTAGAATAATGTTAGATGCTTTGTGTAGCTTTGTTACTGACTAGAGTTGTTTCTTTAGAAATGATTAAATGCCCAATGATCAAGGACAACTGGGTCAATTTTGAAAAAAGTATATCTTAAATTCAGTTTTTTATTACTGTACTTATAACGATTTTACAACCTAATTCAACTCTTTACTAAAAGAAAAATATTTAACTATTTTACTACTTTGTGGCTGATAAAATCTACCAACCCCGTCCCATCGTTAACTATTTACAACTATAATTTATTTTTGTAAAAAAATACAACCGACTTCAAACGCTCTAAAAAGAATGAAATAATTTAAATAAAGTAAACTTTTGTATTAGGCAAGCTCACGTATTTTAAGTCGGCGCGGCTCTATGATGATTTTTGATACGAAATTGAAAGAGGGTGTCCATATTGCAGGTGACTATCTTGCATGTATTTTTCATAGTTATGCGTTAAGTGTTATTTTATTACCGTAATCAGAGATCGGCATTATAGTGGTATTAACGAGTATCTTTAAAAAGATTATAACGCATTTAAATGTTTCTAACTTGGAAAAGTAACGTTTTAATACTAAGAAAATATTTCCTTAAATATATAAACAAAACAGTTCAGTATGTTTTTATATAAAACAAACAATTTATTTATAAAACAAACAATATCCAGCTACAATTTATTGATTTTCAAAATACACACACAATATTTAATTTCAATCATATTTTTGCAGTTTGAGCCGCGCCGACTTGAAATACGTGAGCTTGCCTAATACAAAAGTTTACTTTATTTAAATTATTTCATTCTTTTTAGAGCGTTTGAAGTCGGTTGTATTTTTTTACAAAAATAAATTATTTCATAATTTTTAGTGCCTGTAATTTTTTTATATATTAATTACTTGAGGATTTTTGATGAGCAAAACTGTTTGAAACATTCAAAAGTTCCACAGAACAATCATTATTTTAAAACTGCTTGAGTCACCTGTTCAGGTTACATAATCAATGGGTATGAAAATAAACATCTTTAGATATTCCTTAAGAAAGAAAGAGTTGTCCATTACATTAGGCCGAATGAAAAACTAATTGTCTTTTCTAGATACATTGAAATGTCAGACATCATCGTTTCCTGCAATCTGTATACTTCTACACTATAAAAAGAAATACAGTAACGTCTCAAGCCTTTTGGAACAATATGAAAGTTATTCCTCAGCTACCAGCACTAAAAAATCTCTCAAAAGTGGACAATTGGTCGTTAACACCATAGTACCTTTCGTATAGTACCTATGGTAGTATAATAGTACCTTTGGAAAATATTATATGAAAGATTGGTTCAGCTAAAAGTGGTGTAAGTCATGTAGGGGGTTTTGTTTGCTCAAGATATAGCCTAGTCGAAATTGCAAATCATCTTCCTTTAGGACTTTCCGAAGCAGGCATGATAGTATTGATATGTTATAGTAACTGGGTAGAGAATATTAATAAACATTCCACATCTGCAAATGAAATATGTATATGAAAGATTGGTTCAGCTAAAAGTAGTGCAAGACATGTAGGTGGTTTTGTTTGATCAAGATATAATAGCCTAGTCGAAATTGCAAATCATCTTCCTCTAGGACTTTCCGAAGCAGGCATAATAGTATTGATATGATATAGTAACTGGGTAGAGAATATCAATAAACATTCTACATCTGCAAATGCATGTTTAGTAATTAAAATATTTAACACTTTTAAGACAATTGACGACTATGCACTGTCACACTTCTTAGGTCGTGTAAGGAATAATTGCATTTGATTTATATTTAGACCTGTTTTACGAATGCTTTGGTTTTCACAATACACCTTTATTTGTTAATATCATACAGCTATTCACTGAAACATATATGTTTTTGTAAGTCAGAATATTCAATACTAAAAATAGAATTACTGTATACACAAATCGGATCAAACGTTGAAATACACTTTTTATAGTAACCAAAACAAAATGCATTTTTCTCAATGTAATTCATTTAGGTTCCATGGCAAGAAATAGTTTATTGATCAATATGAAGCAACTGTTTCATGAAGATTGTCTTTAGCTTCTTTTTAATGGTTTCAACTAACAGCTGTAGGAATGTTATTATTATTTATTGCCTTCTCTGCACAAATGTAAACAATCTGCACAAATGTAAACAAAATAAATGTTGAATTTTAAGGTTTTCAGAATTTTTCACCAAAACAAATATTACATACTTAAACATAATATATAAGGTACCAAATAGAAACTCTCCTGGTTATTTTGGTGGTGGAACCACACTGATCGGTAAAAGAATCACAGAGAAATTGGTGAACATACATAGAAAAAAAAAAACATCGCCACAGACAAATTGAGAACCTCCTCCTTTTGTTGGTAGTGGGGAAGTCGGTTAAAAATCAGCTAAAACAAACACACATATGTCATCCAAATTTGTAAGTCCTTATCAGGTTTTCCTTTGAATGATTGATTGATTGATTTGAGTCGAGGAAGACCATGTCCTGATGCACATCAGGACATGGGCTTTTTGTGCTCCACGCTTGGTGCGTCAGAACCCGTCAAACCTGAGTTGCTTGATGAACTGCAGCGCCCAAGAGCTCCTCCTGAGGAATGTTTCTGCCCCTTATCATTGTTCCAATAGTGCTTTCCCTTCCCTCATTCAGAGATGTAAAGTCTTATAGTAGATGATCTACTGTCTCCTCGGACTGCTTACATTTCCTACATGCAGTATCTCCATTATAGATCCTAAGCGATGCAGATGCAGTTTCAGGAAGCCATGGCCTGTGACCACTCCTGTGATCTGGCCAGGATATCTTATGCTTTAGATATTATTTCTCGAGCATACATCTTTGGCTTTCATCCTAACTGACCCATGGTTATAAATTAATTGAGCACCAAGGTTGCTGCTATATGCTCAATCTTTCAGCGGAATGTTTACGTCACGTAATAATCAAACCACTTAACACATTGCTCTACCCTGTTCATGGCAGTAAAGAATCGGCTGTAATCAGGTCTGTTTCAATACTGGTAGCCTTTTAAATGAGATTGAAACAATCACAGTCTGATTAGTCTAATGTTCTTTGGGACAACTTAGATCACCAGATCTATTTATACTACAGAAATTATCTTAACAAAAGCAATCATGATTTTGTAATAGTCTAAATCTGGTATTTTGTTCCAGCCCAAACAACACTGGAAGTAGATCTTCAGATGATTTACAACCAATCAAACTTGAAAAACTCCAAACTCCTCTGTTACTTCCTCTGCTATAAACAAACCACAGTTGTCTTGTGTCAACATGGACAATATAGTGTTTCATTATGTTAGTTCATGAGTTCTTCATAAGTTTTGTACTTAACATTTACATTAATAAGTTGTGTTGTAGTGTTTCCTAATCTTGTTCTCTCGATTGGTTTTATTTATAAATGCAAAATGAAATTTGTGTTTTTGTTATGTTTTCTAGAATGTAAACAGTTATATTATATTAATCTAAGCTATGAGAAAATAATATGTTACTTTTGCAGTTTTCAATGTTAACAGTTAAGGATTTTTGCATTAAAGTTAAGTTGGTACAACAGGTTTTGTTATTCTTTCACACCTAAATGTAACAAAACCCCATTATTTGAAACTTACACTTTTTACAAACCCATACTTTGGTCAGTGATATTTTGCAGTTTTCAGAATTTTTAAGGGTACCGTAATAGAATATGAAAATGATTTTAACTTTTTGAATTACCCTTAGTCTTAGTATTGCTTGTTTTTTCACTTATTTAGGATTTATATAAAAAGGCTAAATTTAATATGATTCACCAGGCACTTAAGTTTTAGAATATATTTACAAGAGTATATACAGTGTACAGCTGAGTTACAACAATTCACGCTCCGTCCCACCAGGAGAGAACTCCAAGGCCTGGCTCGTTAATTGTTGCCTGCAACAAAGAATTACGGTCCGAGGTTAGTCTCACTGTAGAATGACAGGCTACACAACACTGAATAAAACGAGAAACGGAGTAGTATTATTTGGTATCATAACAAAATAGTTAATTTGTACAATATAAAACTTACCCTAACATAAGAGAAAAATATTTAATCAACTTATAAGCCCACTCAAACCAACCTAACACATGAAAACAGGCTTCTACAAATTTTACATTAGGATTCGAGGACTACTGTTAGTGAAAAAAGTCAATGGTGATACATATCAATAAGTATTTTTTCATTTAGTCAGCAATTGTTATGGAATTGTAGAGTGAGGAATCGCACACAGTGGTTTTGATTGTGTGAAAACAATATTAACTTTGTTTGCACATCAGCCATAAACGCCAAACGGGTACTTTCAACTTCAAAGTTAAGCTGTAACAGTTAGAACTGTCTGTGAGTCAAAAGAAGGCATCCTGCATAACTATTCAGACCAGCCAACTTTCAGTCTATAGTTAATTTTAAATCTAAACAAAACAAAGGAAGAGTGATACCATGCCTTCCTCTAATACAAGGCCGTGGCGAGACCAAAGTGACAAAGTCGCAGACCCAGCCTAACTAAACAACTGTTAGCACTAGGCCTATTTCATAATGGAGTGTATGTGTAATGTTTTGTTTATGTTCACATATTTGTTATTACTGCAGCTACCATGGCAATAGACTGGCCGGAACCACATTGTTACACAGCAAAGCCGGCATTGTTTATAGGAGGCTATGCTTAATTTACAAAGCGGTACGCAGTTTGACTCACCGTGATGGAGTATGGAACCTTAGGCTCAGTATTAATGGTGTCTGGGAGTTCAGGATTGTCGGGACATTGAACTGGAGAAGTCTCCACAAACAGTTCTGAAGTCACACGGAATTTCAACTTCTCTCCTGTAAAAATTCAGTAATAATCTTATTACGGAGTAAACAAAAAATAAGAGTAAAGTGTATAAGCCTTTTACTCTTATGCGAGCAACTCAGTTTTCATAATTTGTCAGGTTACCAGGTTGTGATCAGTATATATTGTTTAATGCAACAATGTAGGCAGTAGCTTATAGTTAGAATAACAATTCTAACTAAAAGAAATTGCTGGGAAGAAATTGTGAAATTTTGTGTTTTTAGGGTCATGTATTCCATTATAAGTGCATGAACTGCTTCAATGTAAATGGTGTAAACTGTATTGAAGCATGTAAATAAAATAAAATAGTTGGGCGTACAATAGGTCGTGGTTCTCACCTTGGTACTAAACCGGTTTGATAGGAAAAGTCACAAATTTAGATTAAAATTTTTGGGCTTTCAAAAAAATGTTCCTGGCATCAGCTAGAAACAAAACTAAGCAAGGCATCTCACCCGTAGGCTGTACACACTCCAGTACTTGAGTTAGCTCAAGTCTAATTTTGTTCTTCCTCATCTCAAATAGTGGTAATAAAATCAATGGCTTAACACAACATTCACTTAGGAAATATATAGGTACTGTAGGCTATCTTTGAGAAAATCTATGAGTTCACCTTCCATTTACTTCGTGTCCTTAAAGATGTTTATTATTATTCAATAACTATGCTTTGAAAGTTGTATCATTGACTGAAGGATAGACATTTTATCTAAAAGGGCCAGCTTCAACCAAGTTGTCATTCAAATAGAAGATAGTTTAATGAGCCTTTTCCTCTCAAAGAGTGTACTCCAGTATAAATTATATTTTTGATACTTCTGATAATATTGTTGTGATGTAAAAGGTGTTTGTTTCAGTTAATAAAATTTAGCATTTCAGTTTGGCTTCTGTAAAAAGTCAATGCTACGGCAGAAATCAGTAATTGACAGCACATTATGTCGTTGGCTCAATTGACTTACATTAATGTTTATTCTAAATTGGCTACATTTTAAACATGGAAATACCGTACAATCTCTCCTCTCTGTAGTCAAAGGATGCTCATGCTCAAAACCAATTAACAGGTAAATATGACTTGTATGAAAAAGCTAATGCCAAACATGTGACAAATGAACGTAAAACAAAACTGTTAGGTTACCTGGATCCATAAATAGATCGTGCTTGTCTCCGTCATTGTCAAACTCCCACACCCAAACCTGCTCCGTCTCATCAAACCTCGACGGATGTTGGAGGTTGCTTGGCGGAATCAGTATGTCGTCGAAGAATCCCAACGTCACTAGGTAGAAAAATATTACTTACAACAGTTCTGCTTTTGTAAAGACAAACAAATTATTGGTTCTCTCCAACAAATAGTAGGCTAATAAAATTAAAAATAATCTTTTGGTAGTTTTTTTATGTAGCAAAAGCTCGTCACTATGATGAATTGGATAGGAATCAAAGTGGGGCTGCTTACAATTAGTTTACAAATTACTTTTTAGACCTTTTCTAATACATGTTGCATGTTGGTTTAAGTTAAACATTTATTGCCGCAATAAATTTACCATGGGCTGTTTCAGAGATTAAATTAAAAGCCTTCTTAACTATTCTTATCATAATCTTGGCAGAATGAATTAAGGATTCAGATTTTAGTAGGCCTATACGTTGACAGTAGAACTCGCCTGCTTTATGGTAATAACACACAGAAGACCCCCAAAGTATGTGTTGTTGGCTATAGTCAATGGCGGAAGCTGGGAGAAATTAACAGCCAGAACCAAATATCAGAAGTGTTGAAACAAAAATTACATAGGCTATTGAGATGTAACAAAAAAACTGATCCATTATACTGTACTGTATTCCATGTTTGCCAGTGCAGTGTACAGGTCTTCCTCATGCTAAAATAGTCATGCTAAAAATATACAAATAACAACGAAATAACATGTTTATTGTCGTACATGTAAACTGTCCTCGCAACCCTAATGAAATCGCAATACTTAGTAGGTACATTAATACTTATTTCAGTAGGCTAACTTTAAAATGTATGTCTTTTAAGCCTTAATTGACTTTAATAATTTTGACTTAAATGCCTGTTTCCATGTGGTCTCATGTTGGTACCTAACATTTTAGAGTGCCAGTTTTGACTAGGTGATTCCTCATTTTGGTAGTTTTTACTACTGTAGTTGCACTTAACACTAGGGTTAAAACACTAGCCTAGATGAAACATGGTTTATAGATGCAAATTTTTATTTCCAGTTAAAAATTCTTTTAAGTTGATAAAATTGCACAAAGTACAAAACAACAAAATTCTCTAAAACCTTAAAGATATATGACAGAAACATACCTCAAGCTAGCTGTTACAAAAAAAAAATAAATAAATCTACGAGTACGGTATAAAAATGTAGGTTTAATTTTATTTAATCTGACTTTGGTGGTTAAGTTAAACTGCTTGAAAGAGATACAATTTTCAGAAGTATTTTTACATTTTGATACTATGGATTCACTCTTAAAATTAAGCAAAAGTATCAAAAGTATTAAAATACTTCATTACCTTGAACACCATCTTTTGTACAACTTCGAATCTTTCCAATGATGATTTCATCAATAAAAGGGCGAAAAACCACAAATCGAAATTCTACTTTTGTGTGTGCTGCGCCATCACCAGGAAATATGTATGAATCCTCCAAACGCTGAATATCAAATAATGTAATGCATAGTCCAACTTTGGGAACAACCTAAAAAACAAATAAATTAGGTATAAATTTTTTCGTCATTACAATGTGAACTGCACTAATAATGCAAAGCCCAATCAAGGCCACACTAAATTGTGGCCTTGGCCCAAAGCAATAACTTAGCACTAAATTATTAAGGCAGTCCTATAGTACAAACTCTTTTAAGGTAAAATACCCGGGCCGTAGCAAACCTGCAGACTAAGTGAATTTCCATTAGCCTGATTGGATTTACATTAAAACGCTTCCTTAAAAATATCACATTTATTCCCTATTTAAATTGAATTAATTAATTTAACGAGCAGGCCTACTTAGGTTTTCTGCAACAGGGAGGGTAAAAAAAGGGTTTTTTTAATGTTAATAGTTTAAGAAATGAATGTAGGGTACCGAAATTATTTTTCAAATTCGATCAAAATACCTATGTTCATAAACAAGCAAACGGGTGTACACTTCTATATCTGTTGGCACAAACAACCGAATGAGTAGGCCTAATATAGATTATTTGATTGTTTAATTCGATATATCGTTTGGTTAGTTAGCTTAGATTAACCTTACCTAACTAACCAAACAATATATCAAACAATTGATACATCGATCGATATTTTCATTCAGTTGTTTGTGCCAACAGATATGGAAGTGTACCCAAGCAAACTACAACAGATGACTCTCCATGAGAATAACATGCGAATTTTAAATTTACAATTTTTTGGACTTTTCTCCGTAATCATTAGGCGCACAATAATGCTCAATACAATACCTATACTAAATCATTTGTTTTTTAAGGCTACAAAATGGGGATTTTGTGTTTATAGGGTCAAAAGTGGGAAAAACATATTTTTACCCCATAAAACCCCGTTCCGTTCCTATATTCCAATCATGCTGGTTTGCGAACTCGTCCAAATAAATGTAGGTTTACACATTTTTACCAAATTTCATCAATATCGAATCATTTTTGCTCTGCGGAACTGTAATAACTTAAGCAACTAACTTAAGTTAAATTTATTATGACTTTGAGAGGTTTTCTCTAAAGATAACTTATGGCTAGGGCCCTATGATTGTCATTCCAGCACCCCATCACTAATCAAGTCCTGACTACAGTGTTTCCATTCTCGGGATTATTATCCCAAAAACGGGATTTTTAGGCCTCGAGCGGGATTAAAACGGGATGCAGGATAAAACGGGATTTTCAGCTAAGATGTAGCCTATATTTTAATTTTTTTTAGCAAAAGATAATAGCAATGTTTAAACAACTATTTAAACATGGTACGTCAAACTCTCGCGATTGAACAAAAAAAACATGTGGGATAAAACGGGATTTTCCAACATTCAAAAGCGGGATTAAACGGGATTTCTCGACCCGGAAAGCGGTATTATTTTTACACTGCCTGACTATTTGTAGAACAACTTAAGCTTATCTAATTGTCCCTTACCTTGTTCGCAAGCTTTGAGTTGAGGTGATCTGTAACTGAAACTTTGAGCTTTTTATCGAAGACTGCAGGAGAAGTCCTGACAACATCTTTAAATTCGGATAAAATGAACATTTCTGATAATGTTATAGCTAGACCTCGGTTTAGTTTCAGTACCGTACCGTACTACTTAGCCAATAGCCGCAAAAAGATGTGCAACAAAATATAGTTAAAATAAATTAGCCAGTAGTTTTTATTTTATTTTATTTTTTTTTTTAATAGCCTAACTCAGGCAAAAGGCCTAGGCTAGGCTTAACCTAAAATTTTATAATTGCTTGAAACAAAACATGCTGGAATAGGAATCGTGTTCAGTAGGCCTGATTACAAATGGAGAAATAAACCTATTCACAAGTCTAAATTAAAGTCAATACTGTAATTAATTATTATCATAAGACATTGAATAACTATTGTTCATCACTATTTCAAACTTCAAACTTCCATATCACTTAGTTAAAATTGTATTTTAAAACTAAAAGAATGAGGATGAGGTTGAGGTTATGTTTATAGATTCGATTCGATATCCAACGTATTCAACAAGAACAAACAAAAACAATCTAATAAAGTAATCTAGTTAAACATAGAGTAACGCTTTATAATAGTATTTCTACAAATGTATATTACATTAAAGCAAAAAAATAAAAAAATAACCAGCCCCCAAAATTATAATGATAATGAGGCTTGGTTTAGTATAAACATAAAAAACATACACATAGTGTTTGTTAGTCTAATGGTCAATAGTGTAAACTTCGGGAGACAAGTGTTGTTGGGGTTTGTATTTATTTATTTTTATCAACGGCACTGAGCTATCACCCATAGTATTACAACAATACATAAAAATATATGGATAAATATCTAATACATCTCAGTAAGAAAAATTAAAATGCTAATATAACCATAATACGCACTAAGGAATAGGGCATGGTGGAAGGGGAATAGAGATTAAAAGTTAAAACGTAATTACCGTGCTCTTAAGATACCAGCCTGAAGTTGGCTGGTCTCGGTCTCTTAGATTCAAGAGATTGTATAAAATGCTGGATTAAAGTATTTTCCAGTTAATTCGGTGTTCTATGATTTCCTACGATACTGTTTATTGTTTTTTTTTTCAGCTTCATTCACTTCACATTGCAATTGCAAATTGCAATGCAACTTCTTATTCTTGCTTGCCCATGCTTCGCTTCTGCTGCGGCGCCGTTTTTGTCACCGAGTTTTACCGATCAAACAATCAACTTATTTATTCTGCGTTTGATTGAATTGCATTATTATGGCGGTAAGTTTTTACTTATAAAATTAAAGGTGTAATTACGTCAAATGGTGATGAATATTTAAAATATATCATGAATCTTATTTTCAATATCGTGTCAGGCCTGAACTAAAATGGACTACACTGTATTCACCCTAACTTACTAACATTGTTTTGAGTAAGGCCTATCTGATTCTTTGTTTTGAAAGGCCTGGCACTTATGTCAGTTTTTAGTTAATTTTTGTTTTGTTTTTAGGGAGCCAAACGACTTACTCTTGTTTATTAACAGTAGGAATAATTTAAATTATTAAAATTTTAGGTTATTTTCTTGGGCCATCTGCTAAGTATTTTTGACATTATCCTATTTTAACGTTTGATGCTTAGAGATAGGCCCACCACCAATCATCCGATACTTGGTATTGATAATGTATAGGCCTAGTATCCATGGTTACAGTTTATTTACTCTATTTACTGGTCTATCCTAATATCGATTGAAACTATCGATTCCATACCTCAATACCTCCTCCTGGCTGCACTTTACTTGACGTCCTACACTCATTCGAATGAAAATATCGATCGATATATCGATTAATCGATTGCTTCATTCGATATATCGTTTGGTTAGTTAGGTAAGGTTAACCTAACCTAACTAACCAAACGATATATCGAATGAAACAATGGAATGAAAATATCGAATCGAAAAAACAATCGAATGAGTGTAGGACGTCAAGTAAAGTGCAGCCCTCCTCCTTCATCTTATACCCCAAAAGTGGGATTGATAGCGTCACTTATCATGGTTACTAAACAAAAACCTATAAGTTATTTACAAATATTTACAATACTTCTGGCAGGCTACAGGCTTCTTAAGTTCCCTTGGATATTCTGAGATGTCATAATAGGTCCGGCTCTTGATGAAAGAGGTTAACACTCCCCCAAAAGTTTTTAGATCCAACAACTGGATATGTCATGACAGCTTAACTTATAAAAAAAAACTTATGGCGGACACTGTAACTAGCTTGGGTCCTAGATAATCGTACCCTGGGTAGGTACATCAAGCTGACAGCGTTGCCTGGTGTTATGCTGGTGGACGTCATCACGAGTGCTGAAGTTGGTTATATTGGCCCTAACAAAGTCAAAGTCAAAGTCAAATCATCTTTATTCACAATATGCACACATAGTACATGAGAATAGTGTCAAATTCAAAGACACTATAAAGACACTTTTAAAATGCAAACGAAGGCTATTCGTGTGATATTTTCACTTATCAAAAGACGATTGTGTAAGGCATCATCCAGTTCAGCTGCAATTTTGACTATTCCTTCACTCATCCGACAGTAGGCCTATATAACACCAACATTAACTCCAGTACTCCAGTACCATTAACTCCTTAACACACATAGCACATCATAGGCTACAACATAAAAATGCCTGTCCATTCAACTTCATTAGTGGTATTGTGAAAATCTGCAATTAAATAAAAGGCTCTGTCAATTAATTGTTCACCTATTTTATCTTTAAAATTATTTTCACTTAGGCTAACAATTTATAGCTTGCAGGCAGCACATTGTACAGCCTCAGCCCAGCATATAGCGGACTTTTCTCATAAAGGGTTAAACGGTGCCTTGGAATTCTAAGAATGTTTTCATTATGATTATTTCTATGGTTGATTTGAATTGATTCTGGGAGGTCGTTTTTAGCCGAATGAATGTAGTTTAGTGACTTCCAAAATGTACAATCCTGTTAGGGTGTGGATTTTTAAATTTCGCAAAAGGTTTTTGCATGAACTACGTGGATGAAAGTTGGTCATAATACGGATAATGCGTTTTTGTAGCCTGAATATTGATTTGACTCCTGTAGCCTGACCCCTTAAGATTATACCGTAGGCACCTCAATACTGATTCTACATAAGCGTGATAAGTTAGCCCTGACCAAAGGAAGCCAAGCCACATGCTGGTTTGGGAACGATGCCGTTTGCAAAACTTTGACAACTAACTATGCCAATCGGCAAAGCTGAACGGCCTTCATCGGCATAATGGGGATGCAGCTTCAGGTTTAAGAAAAAACATTTTAGTTGAAAAAGCTTGCTAGGCTACAGAGTTCGTGATTTTTCCGCTGACGTGTAGTCAATGATTTCTGATTCCGTTAGATTTTACTTGAAAGACTAATTTTTCTAGACAGTTGGTAGTGTTTTGTATAGGTACCTATCATCTTTTGTATATTTCATTTCCACACCTGGCTTTTCCAATAGGCTACAATATATTTTGTAATTTTGGAATAAAGAACTTATGAGACAGTGGGATTCATAAGGTAGTTATATGATCAAATTCCCTCATTTTTAAATAAATGCCAATTTGTATAGGCCTATACCAAAGTCAGTTAACTTGTAATCTGTCTAATAATATACAATTTTTAGGCTTTTTAAAGCACTTAAAGCAGGCTTTTTTAGCAAATTTTTAGGGACTGACCTTAGCACATCTATAGTTAAACTTAATGCAGTACCGATAATAAAGTGTATAGGAGCTTAAAATTAAAAAAAATGAGTTTTTTAACTGTTCTATTATTTTTTTTAGGCAGTTGCAGCAGCAAAGGTACAAGAAGTTAGGGAGATTACGAAGATAGAACGCATTGGAGCTCACTCACATATTAGAGGGCTTGGATTGGACGATGGATTGGAACCGAGACAGGTTGGTTTTAGTCTATATTTACACAAGTGAATAAGTGAACTAAAGGCCCATGATTTATTGAAGGTACACATTCATTAAGGCAGCAACCAATCTGCTGGGCAATCACGGCTGTAATGTATGCATTTTTGTTTTTAACAGACGAACTGATTTAATTGAGACTGGCAGGCAACATGTCCATCGTGTGCACTTTTCCCAGTTTCAACGAATTTCCCACATATAGGGAGTAAGCTATTACTGTAGGTCTCATGGCAAGGACTGGACCAAGGACCGATTTACTTCTTTGTTTTGAGGTCCCCAGAGGCGAACAACACCGTCCGTCCAAATGTATATTTATATTGGCCTATGTATCCGTTAGCTCGATAACTCGATCAAAAATGGATCCGATCTTGATGAAATCTGGTATAGGCCTAAACCTGTAAACTACATTTATTTCAACGAGTATACCTCTTGCTCTTACTAGGCATAGCCTATCAACAACAATCACATATTCATTATTTAATTGTAACTGTAAAATCGATGTTTTGTAGTTGTTGACTTGAAGAGAGACTAAAAGCCACACTTTTTGAACACAAATACTGTGCAAAAAGTTTAAGAAAATATGTAGGTCTACTTAAAGTCTTGTACCAGTCAAATTCGAAGATCTTCAAAATCATACAACTTTTGTAATCCTTAGCTAATATAACCACTGATTTGTTTTTAAATATTAAAATTATATTTGAAAAAAAGATAATGAAACAACTGCATGTTATGTAGGTCTCCCAAGGCATGGTGGGCCAGCTGACGGCTAGGAGAGCGGCCGGAGTTGTGCTGGGGATGGTCAAGGAAGGCAAGATAGCTGGCCGAGCAGTGCTACTGGCTGGGCAACCTGGCACAGGTCTGAGACTAATAAATTAAGTACATATCCTAGATTAGTTTTTTTAAAGTACCTACCTAGTTTCAGTTTTTTTTTTGTGAAAAAAAAACCACTTTGCTCAGGAGTAGCCTTACTAAGGAAGTAGAAAAGTATGCAAATCTTACTCTTCCAAAAGAAATGTACAACTTTGTCACTGCAATGAAGTCTAGATTATCCAATATTGATAATCCACTATGTGGTGTGTTGCAGGGAAGACAGCCATTGCTATGGGACTAGCTCAGGCCCTTGGTCCAGACACCCCCTTCACCAGCATGGCTGGCAGTGAGATATACAGCTTGGAGATGAGCAAAACTGAGGCTCTTACACAAGCGATCCGCAAGTCCATTGGTGTCAGAATCAAGTAAGTTGTGTTTGAGTTGTTAAACATTCTAACTTCCTTTAGATACTATCTTGATAAATAATGTAGGTACACTGAGAAAGTATAAGTATATTGGGGAGCGAGCTGGCGTAGTGGTTAGAGCGCGGGGCCAAGTCACCAAGATGGATTTTATCTAAGTGACAATGCCGCAACTCCTTGGTCTAGTCTGAAGTAATGTGAAAAATAATCCCAGGCTCAGGCCTAATAGCCAAATATCAGGGCTAAAAACAATTTTTTACTTATGTTTCTGTCACTGATGCTTGTCAATCTTATGAATCTATGAGGATTATATGAAAAGTATGATCAAGGTATAACAGCGTTGCCACCAGCCATGAAAACCTTGAAAAGCTTGAATTATGCATGAATTCTTGTGACCATGAAAAATGGCATGGATTATGCATGGATTTCTCAAATGGACCATGAATTTTCAAAATCAGAAAAAATTATTCAACCAATAGGCTACCATTAAGTTTTCCAAATAAAAAATATTTCATATTTAAAAACAGTTCATAGAAACGAACACCATGAAAATACTGTGTGGAGATGATTATTTAACATGTTCCACAGTCAGAAACAATTGCTTGGTTCATTCCAAGTCATTCAAAGATGCTGATGTCAGCTGAGACTTCCCGAGGACTGTATATGGTTCGAAAAATCATTAGTAGGCTGGTGATGTAAAAGGAGGGCCCTGCGTATGAAAAAGGGGTATGGAAATTAAATCACAAAAACAGAAGTTTTAGACCATGAACGGAATTGAAACGGGGGCGCAATAAAACCGAATTTCCGACTGACGCCTGATTTTTTTAGCTTTTTTGATAAAACCATCATATCTTAGTACGCTGTGAAATAAGATAAACCAGAATGCAAACTTTATGTAGAGGGGGATAAAACTGGATGAAACACGACTTTTTTGGTTGGGTGAGTGGGATTTTTGTTTTATTCGGGTGGAAAGACTGAATTAGACCTAGACTTAATATATTTTACAATTCTTCTCCAATATCTCATATAGAATATGAGCTGGACCAGTTTTGTTTTCAACTTTGTTTTGAATGTTTATAAATTACTCTAAAAAAGTTGTATATTAAGTATGAAAGGTTATTCAAAAGTAACACACAAAGAAACTGCCTCTTTAACGTCAGTTTATGAAATCAGCAAAACTCAATTGTGTCGAAATTGTATAAGCGCATCGACCATGAATTTTTTGTAAACTACCAATGAAAACCATGAATTCTGCATGAATTTTATCATCCCACTGTGGTGGCAACCCTGTATAAGGACCTTACATGTAAATAATAATAAGGAAGAATTGTTTCAAGGGCAGTCAGCCTAATTCCTGTGTTTAAATAAGTAGGCCTATGCTGTATGTTTAAGGAAGTCTTGTTTAGATGGACCACAATGTAACTAACATTCCCTACAGATCAACAGTGTACTGTATGTATTGTCTCATGCCATGTCATTCGGTAGTCCAATTAATACACAGCTATGTTGTTATTTTTTTCAATCTATTCATTATAGATTTTTTTTGTTATCTATTCATTTTTATTTTTGTTCATGGACCTTTCCTACACTAATTGTTTTGACTATTATTTACTATGTTTCAAGAGATTCAAGCAAACTCATTAACCCTTAAAATAGGGACAGTATGATTCTGATTGGCGAACTCTCACAACCTTTAGTGTATTTACAAAAAATCTTCCTTCCTTTCCTTATTGAGTGGAGACCATCATAGGAAAACTCCGCTAACCCATTATTACTAATGCTCGAACATACCGGTACAGGATTAGTTTAGGCCTAGTGTATATTTTTCATTAGAAGACAGTATTATGGATTGTTATATGAGGCTTTTCATTGCTTAATAATGCACTTAAGGCTGTTAAACAAGTTAATTATAACTGTGACACCTGTTTTCTCCAGAGAAGAAACAGAAATCATTGAAGGCGAGGTGGTGGAGATACAAGTAGAGAGACCGGCAACAGGTGTCGGAGCCAAGGTGGGCAAACTTACCCTTAAAACAACGGAGATGGAGACTATCTACGACCTGGGCACCAAAATGATTGAATCTCTTACCAAAGAAAAGGTTTGTATAATTAATTCTTAACATAGTCTAGATCCGATTAAATTATAAAATTCATAACCAAGTTCATTTGTATTACGAAAATTGAATTGTAAAATGTTATAAACTCACCATAGAAGCATAGGTTTTGGATTTTTTTGTAAAATATTCTAATGTGTAAAGGTTGTGTTTTTCTTATAGGCTACTTAGTTCTAACCCTTTCCCATTCAGGGCAGCCTTCCTCACAAACAATCCTAAAAAATATACCCTTGTGCTCTGTATTACATCCTTAACTATAAAAAGCATTGGTGTGAGAAAGGATAGGATAAGCAGGCTTACCTTAAGAAATGTAGGCATCCCACTTCATTCACTACAGAACACAGGAGAAAACACAAAACAAAACAAAATAAACACTGGATATTTCGAGGCCACTGGCCCCTTTCTCAACATGGAGAGTCACATTTGTTTTTGTGTTTTCTCCTGTGTTCTGTAGCGAATGAAGTGGGATGCCTACATTTCTTAAGGTAAGCCTGCTTATCCTATCCTTTCTCACACCTATTCTCTGGCAATAAGCCCCTTCTCTCCAAACCTATAAAAAGCATTGGTGAGACCAACAAGACCTATTTTGAAAATCATTACATTTAGTTTAGGGTGTTTCAATATTTGCGTTACGGTTATATTTTGATTTAAACACATTTAATTTGTAGCTTTGACTTAATTTAAGTAGACAGGTCATTCTCATGTTAGAGCTGTTGGCAGTTTTTTGATAAAAATGAATGTAGTTAAATTGAGTCACTAACAGACTTATTTTGAAATTTTGCACTAATTTTGTACTTATTTTGTCGAAATACGCCAACATTTATACCGAGCTGAACTAAGAGGACAACTCATAACAAAAGAGTCTCTCAGGCGAGCAGAACTTTCTTTGTTTTAAAGCTGTCGCTCAGCAAAATCCATTAGGCCTAGCCTAAATAATTGTATTACTTATAATAATTATAATTGTTATTGTAGGCCTATTACTTGATCTGTGTCACTTAAAACTGTCCTCATATGACTTTCTTGTTTTTTTTTAGGTTCAAGCTGGGGATGTCATTACGATTGACAAGGCAACTGGGAAAATATCACGACTCGGACGATCCTTCACTCGAGCAAGAGATTACGATGCTACAGGTGCACAAACCAGGTAAGATCTGGTCCCGGGATTTTCTCATTTTTTTGTCCCCTCTCTAATTCATTTTGGTGGTGATCTCCTTGAATCAGATGAGTTTCTTCTGTAATCAACAGGTATGATCTTGTCTTTTATTTTAATTCACATGTTCTGCACCAGGTTTGTCCAGTGTCCTGAAGGAGAGCTCCAGAAACGTAAAGAAGTTGTCCACACAGTCACTCTTCATGAGGTCGATGTCATCAACTCTCGAACGCATGGTTTCCTGGCTCTCTTCTCAGGTATATTTTGATTGATGTGAATTTTTGTTTGTAAAAACCATCAAACTAGAATTTAGAGTGATCAACGTAGGTAGTTTTTATGACAAATATAGGCTACACTAGTCACAATAAACTTGGGTTTTTATCTGTAGTATGAAGTAATGTATTTGGTAATCATTGGCTCACTGCAGAATGTTGCAGTGGTTGGTTTATATAGTATCAATGACCAGGCAAAGCAAGCACACAGTCATTGACAATTGTTTTGTGCGGTGTAAAAATGAGAATGTGAAAACAAACACACTTTTCCATTGATTGATCATGTAGCACTGTATAAGGTTTTTAATTTCAATTATCAAACGTCTGGTGTATTTTTCTTTTTTATCTGCTAAGAAAGTAGAATCTATCTCTAGTATACAACATGTAGACAAACTGTGTCCCTCCACTCTGTTGTTTGAAAAAATATTTTAGGACGGTGGCCGTTAGCTTGTATACCAGAAGATATTTAAATTATAATCACTTTGGCGTTCGAAAAAATATTTTTGGATGATAAATAACTCTTAACCCTTTCAGTGCTAGGCCAATAATTTATATTTTGTAAGACTTTTTTGTTTGCCTTTTAATTCCATTACCTGTTGTTGAAACTTAACTGTCATGTTGTCACTATTTTATTAATTAGGCTAATTTTGAATAATAACACAATAAGAAAATATATAAGAAAGATAAATCCCGGTATTTGTAGTAAACATTAAATAAAACTTAGTTTTTGTTGTAATTTTCCTGGTTTGCCTGTAAATTTTTATGTTCTGATAGCATTATTTGAAACCAAAATCTCATAAAATCAAAAGACATATAGTTTACAATGTAATATTGAATTTAACATTGATTTAGTTGAAAGAGGTTATCGGAATATAGCCATTTTAAAGAAACTAATGTTTTGCAGCAAAGTCTCAGGAACACATTTATGATCACTGTTGTGTTCAAACTAAAAGATTTCATCTAAATAGTCCGTGACTAACCGGTGCTGCTACCTAGTAACGCATTGAACAACCATCTGTAGCGCTATCTGTTCGCAATCGGTGGCGACAGCTTATATACCGGTTTTTGACTCCTCAGTCTTCAAGCACAGATAGCCGAGAAGGCTAGGGCAAGTGTCACTTGGCCAGTGGCATTCGTCTGCTCGGGTTCTAATCCCGTCCTGTGTGGCAAATAATTGGTGACCTGTGTGTTTGTAGCGATATACTACAACCACTGGGGCATAGTAAGGTGTTCATAATCCTTGGTTTAGACATACACCTCAAAATCATCGGATTGGGCGAATCTTTTAGCTAAGTGGTTGTTAGTGTATCCTATGAACATGCAGGTCACCAATGGCCGTTTTGCTATTTTTTTTTTTTTTTTAATAACCTTCCTCTCTATATTCCTTAGAGATTTTTTAAAACAACGATATATCGTTTCATAGCACTGAAAGGGTTAAGCAGCTGTTTGAAATGATTTAAGATGGCCGCTAGCCTCCAAGGACTCTTAAGTAAAAAAAAATAAAAAAAACAATGATGTAAGAAGTAAAGAATGCTGTTTTCTTAAGTGAATCTTTTCAATTCTAAGAACTGAACTGAAACGGCTAGTTTAAAAAAAACGGTTGTAGGTGAAATAGTTTACCTACTTAATGCATGTACAGTATTAGTCAAAATAAACAGTACTGAAATAGTAACAGCTGATTCAGTTTCAGTACTATTTTTTTTTACTGATACTGTATTCAAGTTTAATAATTTATGTGCAGGAGACACTGGTGAGATCAAGTCTGAAGTGAGAGAACAAATCAACACCAAAGTGGCAGAATGGAGAGAAGAAGGCAAAGCTGATATTGTACCCGGGGTTCTGTTTATTGACGAGGTAAGCATATCCATGTATTATCCTGGCCTTTAACGGTAGTCATATGGTGGAGAGGTGGAGGTTATACCTGTAGATAAATCAAATTGTCCTATGGACACGCACAGTACTGTGTTGTGCTATCTACTTAAGGGTTTCCCGTGATTGGGCCCTTAGTCACTGTAACACTCCTCACCTACCCAAATCTACCTGGGTGGTTCAATGGAGCTCCCAATTTCCTTTTGTTTAAAAAGGTACTAATTAGATTCAAATTCTCTTGTTTGATTTAATTCCTAGTTGATTTTTTTACAAGGGGTGTCCAAAAAAAAGGAGTCCAACAACAATGTTAAATAAAGTTCCCTTATCATGCTTTGATAACGGTTCCTTATCAAAATTCCTGACATTTTCACTGTTTGAGTGTAAATGACTTATTTATTGACATTTTTGGTGGCAACTGTAACATGTGCGTCCAAGGAGATAGAATGAAATGTGTTAACAAACCAATGGTTTAAAGAAAAGCTTTTCCATTTCTTATCCTAGGCTATGCATGCTTTATTTGAATTCTTATTAAGTGTATAAAGCTTTATAATGCTAGTCACTATCTCCTCTCTATTTACCTTCATCAGGTTCACATGCTTGACCTGGAATGCTTTTCATTCCTGAACCGAGCCCTGGAAGACGAGATGGCTCCCATAGTGATCATGGCTACCAACCGTGGTATCACAAGGATCAGAGGTACCAACTACAAGAGTCCGCACGGGATACCTCTAGACCTGCTGGACCGTATGGTCATCATAGCGACAACACCGTATGAGGAAACTGAGCTCAAGGAAATATTGAAAATAAGGTTTGTAAATCTTTGAATAAAGTACTTAGAAACGACTTGTCTATTTCAAGGTTCAAGGCAGTAATGAAGGACTGGTTGATAGAAAACCCTTTTAGCGAATTTCCCTATAGGGAAGTAGCTATTACCGTAGGTGGCATGGTAAGACCTAGACCCGGGACCGATTTACTTTTTCATTTTGATGTCCCCAGAGGCCAAAAACACCATTCGTTCAAATTTTTATATATGTATATATATATATATATATATATATATAGACTTATATATATATACGTCCGTGAACGCGATAACTTGAGTAATTTTTGTCCGATTTTGATGAAATTTGGTTTAAAGGTGTAAAGCGGGATAAACTTGAATGAGTTCGCGAACCAGCACGATCGGACCATGGGAACGGGGCTTTACGGGGGGTTTTATGGGGTAAAAATTGGTTTTTCTAACTTTTGACCCTCAAAACACAAAATTTCCCAATTTTTCTTTAAACCTTTTTAAAGAGCTTAAAAAAACAAATAATTTAGTATATAAAAGTATTTTTGTACAATTATTAGTAACCGAGAAAATTAAAAAAATTGTAAATTTAAAATTCCCATGTTATTCTTATGGAGAATACTGTCATATGTTGTAGTTTGCTTGTTTATGGATATATTTTGCTCAAATTTGGCAAATTTATTTATTTTGTACTAAGCTATCAATATTTTACTCAAAAACACACTTTATTAGTTTCCTTGTAGCAGTAAACCTAGGTACTCGTTAAACCTAATGTTATTAAAATATATTTAGGCCTAACTGAAAATCAATTCAGACAAATGGAAATTCGCTTAGTCGGCAGGTTTGCTGCGGCGGGGGTATTTATGACCTTTATGATTTTTTTAAAGTAGGACTATCTATCAGTTTTGTTACAGGTAATGCTCTTGCACTGCCTTGCATGGCTATTTTCTTGCTGGTTTTTTTTTGCATGGTTATTCTTCAGTTTTGTTTTACATGGTTTTGTTTGTTTCCTTATTATTATATTTTTCCAACTTGCATTTATTTGTGAATCAAGAGATTTTACTCATCCATCAGGTGTGAAGAAGAAGACTGTGAGATGACAGATGACGCATTGCTGGTGTTGACGCGAATCGCCAAGGAAACTTCTCTCCGTTACGCCATTCAGCTGATCACCACAGCCAGTCTGGTCAGTCGGAAACGCAAGAGCACAGAAGTAAGTAACAGATAAAAGTTGAAAACAATTATTACAAAAGTCATGTGATTGTGTGTTTGAATCGATATTTTAAGAAAAACGCTAAATTGTTTCATTTGCATTGTTGAAAATGTCTTGTAAATTGTTCTTAATTTAACTCAATGAACTACAAACTGAGTAAACTGAGATATATCACTGGTTTCTGTCAAAACCTTTACAAAGCAAAACTAAACATTTGGGGAAAAATATATTTTTAGACTTATCTTTAATCCAAAAGTCAATGATGAAACTTAAGTTTGGGTTTTTAGACTATAAATAATTTTGTTATCAATTTCTCAAATCTTACTTACTTACTCTTACTCCCAAGGCCATCGATACCCAAGGTGGTATTTGGCCTCGCCAACTGAATGCCTCCATTTCTTCCGATCTTCAGCATCTTCCTCCATGATATCTTACAGTGTGAATTTAGATATATTAAAACCTTGATAAAAAGTCTTTCATGGGAGTTATCAAATAAGACCTGTTATCAAGGTTGACTTCTTATCGAGGTTTACAGTAACATGTAATTCAGAAGGGTGTTATAAAATGACGTTATTTTGTTGTCAAGGTCGATTGAAGGAGGGTCTTGTTACCAATGTTCCACTGTGCATTCTGTGTGATACTTAGATAATCAAATTATTTCACCATAGTGTCTTAGTATAGCTAGATAAAACCAGGATTCAACTTCAGAGGTTTTCTAATGCAACATAAACAATATTTTTGACATAACAATCCTTTCGAGTGATGACCTATTGAGTTTGCAAGGTAGTAACAATACAACTTACAATCTGTTTCAGGTGAGCATAGAAGATGTGAAGAGAGTATATTCCCTGTTCCTGGATGAAGGGAGATCCACCCAGTTCCTAAAGGAATATCAGGATGAATACCTGTTTGATGAGGCCGGAGCCGGAGGTACACAACTTATTCCACAAAGCATAACTAAAGGAATTTCTCAAACTAATCTAATATTTTGTGCTGAATCCTTATTTTACAAAATAAATATTAGTGCACTTATCTGTTCAACTTGAACAGGACTTCGGATTTGGTCTTTTTAGTATGAAAGTGATTTTAAGCTTAGATTTGTGAAATGGGGCGGAATTTGGAGAATGTTGAAGTATTGATTAAATGTCCCGTTAAATATTGATGTCGTGTTTTTTATATTGTGTTGGCTATTGCATGAGAAGGATGGATTGGAGAGGTACCAGTGTAACTTCCTGTAGGTTTCAGGTATGGTTCCTATATGTGTAGCAAGTTTGGGTTGGACTAGTTTTAAGTTTTAGGCATGGCAAAAACATTTCCTTTCATCTCAATGGCTTGTTCAAAAGTGTTTGATTTTTACTCTGTGTGATAAATAAGTTCAATATAGCCTACTAAATTGTATTTTGAATTAATCCATACTCATAACGAACCCCTCATGTCTTTGGTGTGTAAATCTTATCCATTAAATTTAATTTAAACGTGTACTTGTTGTTGCAGACATTGAGACAATGGAAGTTACTGTCCACTAAAACGATGTAGCTGAGCTTCTCCACTTAATTTCTTACTTTTAAGTTTTGTAATAAATATTTTTGAATTGCCATGTTTCCTTGAATTACTGTACAAAGTTCAATAAAATAAGCTTTTTTTATTTGTCTACTTTAATTCATTTTATAGTATCCTAGTGTAATTATATAAACATAAAACCATCCTTTTTCAGATTGTAATTTTTTTGTTATCTCTAAAAATCTGCACTCTGCATTGAGATGGGGACGCTACCTATATGATTGTGTATTTTAACCCAAATGTGATTGAAGGATTATTGTAGAATGGGGTGTGAATGATTGTAGTTATTTAACTGACTAAGATCAGCTGTTTCTTTAGTCAGGACCATTATTTAAAGCACAATGATAAGGAAAAGCTGGGTCCAGTCGTCCTATAGCGTCTCGGTTTCCCCTTTTTAGAAACTGATGAGAACCTCTTTAGAGAAGTAGTGGGGGGCGTGACGTCACTCTGCTCTTTAGGGAACACCATTACCGTAACGAGACAATATGATTCCATCGGTGTTCGTGCAGGGCCGTGCTGGCCAGGCGGGCAACCGGGCAATTGCCCGGTGCGCCCTCCCAAGGAATACCCAATTGACGCCCTAGCTCTAAAGGCAAAAAATAAATAAATAAAAATAAAAAAATATGGTTTTGGTTTCCTCACATAACAATCTTGAGAAAAAATCTTTAATAGAAGAAGTTTTACATCAGTGTATTTCATAACTGAATGCTATTTCTGAGACAGAATAAAAACGAATTTGACGTTGAACGGTTGGCAGTACGGAAAACTAGGACCGGAGTCAAGTAGAGGTAGAATCTATTTTAGTCTTGAGTCGTCTGGTCTGCGCGGAGCCACAACAGAAGCAAACCGGTTTGTTTACATCCCTTTCATAGGTTAGGCCTGCAGGTAATTGTTGTTGTATTATTATATTGCTATTATTATTATTTTAGTTTAGTACTACCAAATGTAAAGAATGTTACCATAATTATTAAGCTACCGGTACCATCGAATTTCATTGTCGCAAGTCGCATTATCTTTAACACTACAGTCGGCCTAAATTTTCCTGTAGTTAATAAATTGTGAAATAATTAGTGTATTTTAACGCTTAACGTAGGCCTATGTATAATTTTTCACTTAGAGCTTCCATTCTACAACAAAACCGTTCCAATAAAACGCCCATAAAGCCGTTTATTTTTTTATTATATTAACTGTATTTTATTTATTTTATGAAGGGAATAATGTATAGGCCTACATATGTTTTTATTTCTCCCTGAAATATTCAGTGTTTAAGTTTTGAGTTTCCCTAGTTAGCTACTGACAACATTTAGATCCTTTATTTTTTGCACATAATATGTAGCCATGTAGCCGTATTATTATTACTATTATTATTATTATTATTATACATATGGCTTATTCGGCATAATCACAATTAATTATTACAATACCCAATTGTTATTTATATACTAAATGAGGTATTTTGAGTTTGAGTTAAGTTTTGAATCTTAACTAATTCTATGATAGTGTGATCTACTTGAATATTTTTTCTCATGTAGCCGTATTACATGTATGTTTAATAAACTTTAAGCAAATTAAATGTTTTTAACACAATACTAATGACTGCAATATTTTTAAACCCTGAAAAAATTATGGTAATTTTCTGGCTGAAATAATATTTTTTTAAATAAATAGTTTATAAATATAAATATAATTTCTTGTCAAAATAGCATAAAAGAGGTTAAAAACTACTAATTTTAGACCTAAAATTTCAAAATTATATTTATAAATTTTATTCCATACCCCCCGTACCCCCCGGTTTTTGGTTGACGCCCTCATGACACTTTGTCCAGCGCCCTCTTGAGGGTCCCAGCACGGCCCTGTGTTCGTGGCGTAGTTGATAGCGTCTCAAACTCGTGATCTGGAGGTCCCGATTCGAATCCCGCCAGCGATTTTAAAATATTTTATGCCAAATTTCACAAAAACCGTTAACTTAACAAAAAAATTGCTTTCAATGATACCTTATTTGTTAAGAATGGATTAGTTGTTAAACAATGCTAAGCAACGTAAAAGGAGTATTAGTATTGTTTAAATGGAGAAAAGTGGTCATGCATTTGGAAAAGAAGGCATTTCTCTGTTATTATTTATCCATTCTTAACAAATAAGGTATCATTGAAAACTAAATAAAATTTACTAACTTTTTTGTCTCTTGCAATTTTTTTGTTAAGTTAACGGTTTTCGTGAAATTTAGCATAAAACATTTTAAAATGCTGCCATTTTGAAACGGTAATTGATTTTTTAGTATAATTTTAAACAAAGACAAGTCTTAATAAGATAAAACAGTTTTGCAAAATCTCAACGCTGTATTCCAAACCGTTTAGGAGTTATTTAATGTTTTTGTAAAAAAACACATAAATACCGACAGTCTGTAAACTAGGCACCGCAGACCCATGTTCCTATGGTGAAATGTGTTTGTCTTGACCTAAGCAACAACCCTATACAGGGTGATCAACTCAAGGAGGCCATCATTGGGATATCGGAAACGGTAAGAATTAGAGAAAACTTTAAAGGGGGACATTCCTTTATTTTTTTAGCAGTTAAAAATATGATTTTAGTTTGTTGAAATTCAGCCGCCATTTTCCAAAATGGCGGCCAACTTTGGAATTTCTTATGGAGCACCCTATATTTTATCATGTTTTCGGATAGAACAGGCAATTTAAAAACTTTTTTATTCTTGAAATTTTTTCGATAAACCCACTCGTTTAGGAGTTACAGCCTATGGAAAAATGACTTCCGGTGTACATTTTACATCATGTAGCTCCTAAACAAGTAGGTTTATAGCGAAAATGCGAAAAGTAAATGAGTCAAATAAGTCTTAAAACTGCATCCACATTCCAAAAAGACCAAAAAATTTGTTAAAAACTATTAATTCTATTATTTCGAAAATGGCGGCCATTTTCCAAAATGGCGGCAAACTTGAAAAGTCTAAAACTGTGTATTTTTTGGTCTTTTTGGAATGTGGATGAATTTTAAGACTTATTTGACTCATTTACTTTTCGCATTTTCGCTATAAACCTACTTGTTTAGGAGCTACATGATGTAAAATGTTCACCGGAAGTCATTTTTCCATAGGCTGTAACTCCTAAACGAGTGGGTTTATCGAAAAAATGTCAAGAATAAAAAAGTTTTTAAATTGCCTGTTCTATCCGAAAACATAATAAAATATAGGGCGTTCCATAAGAAATTTCAAAGTTGGCCGCCATTTTGGAAAATGGCGGCTGAATTTCGAAAAAATGAAATCATATTTTTAACTGCCACAAAAAATAAAGGAATGTCCCCCATTTAAAGTTTTCTCTAATTCTTACCGTTTCCGAGATCCCAATAGTGGCCTCCTTGAGTTGATCACCCTGTATACATGTGTCCAGAGGGTTACAGGACACCCATATGCAAACTGCAAGAGATCTAGTGTTTTTGGCAAAAACACCATACTTTCCACCAAGGCAAAGTAGGGAGAGGTATTCTATATTTCCTTGAATAATAGTTGCACTTTTTTACAGTTAATAAATCCATTCATTATCTTTTCTATTGCTTTCCTTCTTGAGTTAAAAGTTGATATTGACCCTACCTACATTTTGGCATCTTCAGAATCTTGCGTCACTGGCTCATAAGAACTATGTCCTTAAAAAAAGAATAGGTGACAGCTGCTGGTAGCATGTTGCATGTAGACATTAACTAAGATAAGATGTAGATGAGCTGGGATGTCTCTGCTGCAGTATCCTATAATGAATGGTATTATTCATATTACTAAATTAATTGTTCATTGAACAAGTTATGTTATTTAACATAAAGTACAGCAGTACTTCAATTTTTTAATCTATGCTACCCCTTTTGCTTTTACTTCTAGTTATTATTTGTACAGTACCTCTCACCTACTTAGTCTACTAACTACCTTAAGATCTAACAGCTTAAAACTAATTAGTTCCATACACTAACCAACACAAACACAAGTAGACTTCTCATCACATTGTACATTTTGAAGCTAGTTTTTCGTGTCATAGCACGGCCACCTGTCACAGGCCCTAGAGGGGTATGTTTTATCTATGGTTTTATCTCTGGCCCTAGTTCAGTCGTGTCTAGATTTTTCGTTCTTATAGATCAGCTGAGAACAATTTTATTGTTAGTTCTGTCTGGTGTACTATAGAGGTCGTGTTTTGTTTACAAGTTGTTTCTTGTTATTTCAGTAATTTAAAACCTCGTTTAACCAAATAAAATGATCAAATCATAAACAATAACTCGTCCCATAGCTATACAAGGCCCCACTAGAAACACTAGAAAAGTTTTTCTATTGAGGCCTTGAGCTATATAACCAAACAGTAAAGCACAAATAATTATGAAACTAACCCTCAAATAATATAAACAAAATTTCGTCGACACTAGCGATCAGTGTCACCAGACATGAACTAGACACAAAAACGAGCTTCAAAATTTACAATGGGAAGAGAAGTCTACTTTGTTTTTATGTACCAAGGGAGCAGTATGTTTTACTATAGATAAAACATACTCTTATGTTTTAACTATGGTTTTACCTATGTATTATGATCTATGGATAAAACTATGTTTTATCTATGATAAAACATACAGGATTCTAAATTACTATGAGATTTTCCCACAAAGAATAAATAAAATAAATTCTTTAACCGTAATTCATTTGGTGTTCTTGGAAAACAAGACTGAGCAATTAAATTACTTAAAACTTCATGATTGATATTCAAGTACTGCATATAGAATTCGTCAAGTAAACTTCGCTGTGTTCATCGATATCATAAAGGCCGTTGTTGACAGCTAAACCAAGTTCTGTTACCTAGTGCAGACGACATCGTGTAAAGCAGAACATTTCGCGTAATGTAGTTTAAGATGTTTAGGTTTCTAAATTTAATCCTAAATCCGTGAAATTGTGAATAAAAAAGTACAAGTTTCGTGTAAATATGAAGTATAGTATGAATGCTAAGTATGAACAACTATCTAAAAGAAGTTCCGGCTCATTGATTGATGACGAGAGCATCGGTTCTCCTGGGAGTCAAAGTTCTGGAAAGGTAAATATTTTTTGTTGCATTACTAATATTATTGTTTATTGAAATTTTGTTAGAATTATTTGCATCTTATATTTGTATAAACATCACAAATTAGAATCCCTTTGTATGGCTCAAGCAAATGTCTTGTTCAGTTATAGCTTAGGCCTATCCTATGGTAAAATTCGCCTAGTCAGGCTCAAAATGTGCAAGTTAGCAAAACGTTCGGTTTCCCAATAATTTGCACACGTCCATGTTCACTCTCTCGGTAGTTTTAACATTTTAGCGTTAAGACCACCGAGTAGGCCTATATTTTTTTCATAGTGATATTGTGGAGATGATTCTAGTGCTGCTGCCATTCACAAATATTGACTTGGGTAAGATAAGGGTGTAAGTTAACCCATAATACAGTACCTACCTAACAAATGTTGTCTAAGCCTACTCAATTAGAAATAGCCTAAATTGTATTGGAATATAGCTTAATTTAGGCTAATAACAACACAAGTATCATAAAATGAGCTACCGTAACTGCTTTGTAATACAAACTAGCCAACCTGGCACACGGAATCGTGCACAATCTAGGAACAGAATTCCAATAGGGAAGATATCTTTCAATGAGCAAAAGGAGGAGAGAATTAAATTGTTGCAGTTTGATCCTAGGAATCAGTTTTTACTTGCCAGGAGATGAGAATGATAGTGTCAAATCACAATAATGACTGTGATGCCATGATGACAACGATGAGCCCTGACTACATAAAAAACTATAGTGTTGCGATACATTCTTTAAACACGCATAGTACATATTTCTTTAATCAAGCCTGACGTCTTATCAAGATTCCTGATTAGCATGCTGGTAACAATGACGTTTTCCTTGAGCTTGAGTATATGAGGTGGTAGACCGCTGACAGAGAGGCTGTTACAAAATTTGTTATTTCAAGTAACCTGAGGCAGTACCGGCTTGCCAAATGGCCTCGTGTAAACGCGCCATTGAATTTTGTTTACTGTGGAAATTTATTTTTTAGGCTTGCAATCGGAAAGAAAAACTTGACTTGAGTAATATGGTCATGTCAGGAGTATGGATAAAGCCCCTTGCCCGTCAATAGTTTTAATAGGCTATAAGAATGCTTTTGTGTTTAACTTCTATTGAGAAGTTCCTGTTTAGTTATATATATTTTTTTCTCTTAACGCTAACTTACATACACTTTTCATAATTATGACAGTAGCCTTCATTATGCCGGCGGATTTATTTTTGATGTACTTTGCTGCCTAAAGTAATTGTAACAAAGCTTCGATAATTTCGATAACTAAGCAGCCCTAATTGTTCGCCTCAATAAATAGTATTTTCATTAATTCATTTTCATCAAGTTTTTGTGATCTCGGACTTCAAATCAGCTGGTCTTAGTTACTTTATTTACTTTCTCATTACTGCCACTGTTTTGACTGGGGTTTTGTCAGGGTGTCATCAAAGTCTCTCAGGTAGTTGCGGTGTTCTCTTAGTAATATCATTAGGCCTACATACGCCAAAATCCTACCTTGATTTTCACCTTACTTGAATCTAGGTGTGTTGACTGTCATTGTACAATCATTTCTTTTTTCTATAATCCATGTTATTCAACAATTTTTGTAAACGTTTTACAAACTTCGCCTTGATCGTAAAACTTAACCTCTTTTTGTAAATAGTCACTTCACGCCCTAGTGATGAAATGTACTAGCCTAATTATTTTACCTAACTCAACGGCATGCTTTTTATAACATTTTTCAGTAGCCTAGTTTATAAAGTTTAAAAATGCAAAAATATAACTTCTATTATACCTATTATCTACTGAATATTTTATTGTTCCAAGTTTATAAGTTCAGGTCTCATTAAACAGTCTTTTTTTAATTCTGTGGAGTACAAAGTAGGCTAAAATAAAAAAAAGTTTTGAAAAATTTTACTAGACGACAAGTTTTGCAGTACAGTATTTACAATCGATGGCATATTTCAAACACATGGTTTGTTTAAGTTTTAATCTTTCCTTTAAAACTAAGTTCCATATTTGAATAAAGTTCTAATTAAAACGATTCAGCATGTTATTACTTATAAGCATGCTTATATTACAGTATAAACATATAACGACACAGCAAAGCCTGAATCATTTGTACACTTCAAGTGACCCTTATCAGTTGAGCATTATGCATAACTTTAAAGTGCAGGCACCAAACAAAATACAGTAGAACTCCAATTATCCGAACTCCACTTAACCGAATCTCCAATTATCTGAATCGCTTATTTCAACAATTTTAAAAACGTAAAGCTACAGTAATAAGTTTTGCAAAATATCAAAGAATTGTTATTAAACACATTTAGCCAATTTTGGACTTTGATGGAACACTATTGACTTAATAACATGTATAGAACACTTGTACTATGAGCATTGTAAACTGTAAAAATGTTCTGATTTAAATTATTATTAATTAAAAGTTCACTTAGTACCGAAAATGAGGATTTTTCTTTAAAATTCCCGGAATTCCGGTAAAACTCCGATTATCCGAATTTTTGATTATCCGAATGGGGTCTGGTCCCTATTGATTCGGATAATCGGAGTTCTGCTGTAGTATCTCTCATAAATTTTTATTATTTTTAACCTAAACTAATCACGACATTACATTAAATTTTAGAAACTTGAAATAAATAGGCTAAATAAATTGAATCTTAATACCTAATATCTTAATACTTAAACTTTAAATCTTTAGTATCTTTACTTTTAATCTTAATCTTATTTGTATCTTTATTTTTTTGATACCTAAACGTTTTATCTTAATTTGAAGAATTATTGAGTTTGATAGATTTTTTTTTATTTTTCTTACCAAACATAACATAAGAGAATGACACTATTCATGTACTTTGTGCTTCAATGAATAAAGAAATATTCAATTGAATTGAACTCTTATATGAGTGTCATATTATGTGTTTAGATAATATATTAATTTCTAATATCAAATTGCTAATTAAGACTTTAAGATATAGGCTATTATGGTTTCTCTGCATAGCCCTTTTTTGAAAGATAAAAATGACAATAGAGCCTTAAGTTACTTATGTTTGCATCAATCCAGTAGGCCTACAAACTAAAAAGTAAAAGATCTTTCCTACTTACATGAGCATCCTAAATTCACAGCACATCCAAAAAACATCCAATCGATTTGGAATGGCTTCCCTTAAAAGTAACTGCTTTATTTCTAAATGCCAATGATCTAGGAACAACAAAATTATATTTTCTTCTATTATTGTACAAAACTTGCTATGTTTCAAGGCTATCTCCAATGTCAATACAGACGTGTGAAAACACTTCTATCCAAAAGCAAACAATGTCTAAGAAGGACGACTATCAGGCCAACATGAACTTTGTTTTTTCCTCATTGAGCCAATGGAAGTTGTGTTTGTCAAACTAATATTGGTCTTGATAGTTGAACACAGGATACCGACACTCATTCTATATCAGTGTTATATGACAAACTGTTGTGTGTCACATTCCTACGTTTCTTTCGGGGCAGTTTGAAGTTTTATCTTAACATGACGGAAAGTGAGCGGGCGGGAACGGAAGATCCGGATGCTATAGAATTAGAAAGTACTTCTGAGCCTCAGTTGCCTATTAGGGATTCTTTGGTTGTTGGATTGTGTGATCTTCCCGAGAAATGCCGGAAAAAGGTAGAAGTAAAAAGTAGTTTTTTATGTTTGTAATTTAAGCCTAGTTATTTTGTTAGAATAAAAGTATAATGGGCGCCTTTTAAACTTTGAATTAACATTGAGGTTATTCATGCACACACATTTCTTATTTAATAATTTGAACTTATTGAGTAAAAGCAACTTTGTACATTGTCCAAAAATGTGTTATGGGACTACTGTCAAATTTTCAAATGTAAATCCCCATTGAGTGAAACCTCATTTAAAAGGTTTTAATAAAAAAACATCATTTATAAAACATAATTATAAAAGAACATCATACTCTGTTCACAAAATTTAGGAGGTTTGAGGGGAAGTGATTTCATCCCCTCCACCTCACCTTAACTTTGAAACAACAGCTGACAGCTGATCAGCTGATGTACAAATCAATTACACATACATTAAACTAAACAAGTGGTGGAGGAACCTAGAATATCTTTTCCTTATACTGCCTAAATTTTGTGAACAGACTATAAAGGTCTCTGAACTCATTACTAAGTTTCAGCCATTTCAGATTTAGATCAAATCATGAGCATTTGTGTAGGGATAGTACAGATGCATTATTAAAGCTCCCATAATGTATTTATGGAGAACTCAAACCTAGAGCATCATTAAAAACCCTCATAAATTCTTTTTGTACTATAGTTTTAGTAACTGACACCAATATTTTGGTATTTTCAAGCAACTTAAATTTTTCAGAGAAATTCCTTTAAAAAGCAACAGCGAAAAAAAGCCACAATTGGATATCAATATTATAATCCAACTCAAAATAAATGACAAAATTCAGTGTTGACAAACTGATGCTGATTAAAATCAGCAGAAATTATGCCTTGAAGAAATAACACAGTTGATATTTCAATACAAGTTCAATTTTATTACTGAGAAAAGGGTGCTAAGTTTGTTTTACCTGTTAAAAGTTCAAAAGAGGTTTCCCTACTTTTTATACACTTTGGATGGTTAAATATTTGATGAGTACTGTACTTTCTCAGTTGACTTTGTTGTCTGCCACTTTACTTTTTTCTATTTTATGAAATGGCTTCTCATGCCTTGAAAATTATTTCCTCTGCTCTATGTGTGATACTGTATTTCAAAGATTTTAGTTATATTATCAAAGACCAGTAAGACCTGCTAATATTTTTTTAAAACAATAACAGAAACTAGTTTATGTTTGTTTCGTTGTACATCTGCTTCCAATAATATGTTTTGTTAATACTTCAAATAATACAAAATACAGTATTTTAAACATATTTTTCACCACACTATGATGTTTTTGGCTGTATTACATACGTTAATTGGTGGCTGAAAGTTACGTTTTGCAGGCCATGCCAGCTGTCGCCAATTTGGGGACCGAGCAGGTTTTTACAGGCCGGGGCCGCAAAATCAGCTGTCCGCTTACTTACTTAGAACATGAATGCGTTTTAAATACACAATCAAAATCCATAGCATTGCAATATAGAATTGTGTTATTGTCACCGTTGCCTAGCAACTATTTATTTGTATTTTTGCTGATTCCTCAAATTATTTCTTAACCTTTAAGTTGTAGTTGTGTTGACGATCAGTGTGCATTATTATAGTGGTGAATAGTGGTAATAGGGTATAGTGTGGTGAAAAATATCGTTCGTACCACGGACCGAAATGGTTTTGCAGCTCTCGATCGATTTAAGTTCTCGACTTCGTCTCGAACTTAAAAACTATCTCGAGCCGGCAAAACCTCATTTTCGGCCCTTGGTACGAAATATACTATTCCTAAGCTTATTAACAGTGTTTTTAAGATCTTTTACAATTCTTTTCTTTTATTAGAGTGTTGTGATCCATACTGTTTCCATTCTACTATTCGTTTCTAGCAGGCTTTAGTAGAGAAAAAGTTTTTCTATTCACAATGGAATAGTCATCTTATTGACATAGGCCTAATTCTTCTACAACATTAGGTTCCTTTAGGTAGCTGGCAATGTAAATACAGTATGTAAATGTTTACGTATAACTCTCTCATTCGAAAATTGGGTTTCATGGTTTCATCAAAACAACTTGCATTTGTTTACAAAGAGTGTTGGTCCCAATAAATTATCAGTAGTGGTCAGATAACTGGAACTTATGTTTAACCAGCACATTGTTGAGTTACTGATAAAAGTTAGTTTTTCTGTTATCATTGCCAAAATGCAATTAAGAGATACTAAAATATTTGAATAGTAAGTTCCAACCCCAAAAATTATTTTTGATATGCCTGTGATTGAACCCGTCATAATGTTTCAGCTGTAGGCCTATTTGACATAAAAAATCAACTAAATAATGAGTAACCTATAATGATATTCTCCATAGGGTTGTAGTTTTGTATGGTAGGAAATGATTTTGATTGGTAAAAATAAATCACAACTGGAGATTTGTTTGCAGATAAATTTGTCTTGTTTCTTAAAACCATAAAATTTAATAAACTATTAAATAGCTATTAGCTGTGGAGATCTTCTTTGCTTGATAATTGAGGTCCAAATAGTATATCAGTGGGAAACTACTAGAAAAACCTTTTAGTATTAGTTGTTTAAACATGTTGAATGTTGACCTTCGAAGTCAAATGTCTTGTTCATTATTATCGTCTTCATCTTTTACCCAATAAGGGATCGATGGCGTCAGAATTCCAATATTCACAAAATACATAAAAAAAAAAACTGATACGAAATACAAACATATCTTATATACATAGTCTAATATGTACTGTGAATTGTTTTGTGGTTGGATATATTTTATACTTTATACTTTTCATTTAAATGGCGACCATACAAAGTAGGTATTTTAAGCCATGTGTGAATATTATCATGTACCTACCTATCTTAAAATTATAATATAATTATGAGTAGCAACATTTTTTGGCATCTTCTTGATTTTGAATTTTACAAATTTAGTTAGAGTGCTCTCTCAATTAGTTATCTTTTATATATTTTAATAAGTTGCGATTAGGGTACGGTTCTATTAAACAATTTTGTAGAATTTTAATCCAATGTCATTCGGTATTTTCCACAAAGATTTCAGACCTTTTTGCAAGCTTAACATTTCCAAATTTCTGATTTTCTTAGGGCTGAGGAATAGGTATTTACTAAATTAATTCGTAAAAGATTGATGAGAAATTGATACTACCAACACCAAAGTAAAAAAAAACCTTAAGTTGTTTGAGCCACTGATGATTGTGTTCAGATTTAAGCTATTAAAGTTCCATTTTTAGTTTAGAATGGATACACTGATACAGCTAGGTTATTACCGTATCAAATATCTCATTATGTAGGTTTTTGCTTCAGGGAGGGGAGGGGGTTTAAATGATGCTGTGTCGAATTGAAGGCCAGTAACTATAAAGGAGGGCTCATTATTTTGAACGCAGATGTTATTTTATTTTTCATGTTTTGCAGTGGTTTTTATTTCCTAACACCTTCAAAACTTTGGAAGATATAGTTATATAAAAAAATTATTGAGAGGATATTTTGGCTCATGACCAAACATTCTGTTTCTTTTGACAACTTATTTATACTTAGAAGACACAATTTGAAGGACAGCATGCACAAAAATATAGTGTGTTAAAAAGTTGCTTGTTAAGTTGTTGTACTTTCCACTGACTGTAATTTCTAAATTACTCTATACAACTTCCTTACCAAAAAAATAACCCTACAATAATTGGGTGTTTTGAATTTTCCTTTTAGTAATTCCTATACAAGCTTTGCATACAATAATAATCCATTTTATTTGTTTGAAAATGTATATTGTATATCTTGTAAATCATAACAAACATGGCGTTGTGAAGCAATTACAAATAATTGGAATTGTAACATTAAGTTATTAGTTTATCAGTAAGCCGAGCAGTGGATTTTGGCAAACTTATGGTCTCCTCTTTTCTAAAACAAAAATTAAATACTTGTTTTATGTTTTAAATTCCAATCATTCTTTATAGTGACAGGTGAAAGAATGATGAAGTGTTACATATTTTCATGTTTTATAACTACAAAATCCTGAGGAAGTAAAAACTCATTGTTTGGGTTTATCTTTGATTATTTTGTACTGATTCATTGAATAAAATGCAAGTTAAAATATCTGATTGGGATTGGTTGTTAATCTCAATACATATATATTCTAGTTTTCAACGCATTATCTTAGAGGCTTAGCCTATCAATCCATTAATTTATTATTTAATTGTGATTATTTATGTCTATGACTTATGTGCACTTAGGTGATTATTTATAGTTAGATCCAGCAATAACTTAAAAACCTAGATTAAGCCTACATTTACTAAATGAAACACAATTTTTTAAGCACCCTTTATTTGTTTGCTCAATTCTTAGCATAGTATATAATATTTACCTTCCAACCATCAATTGACAATAAAAAATATATTTATTTCAAATACCCTTAACAAATTTTAAACAGTTTTAAAACTATCAAACAAAATTTTTAATGTCAAACAAATTTTCATCAAGCCCTGTCATTGTTTTTAACAGTGATAATTATCAACCGGTTTCTTTAATGACTTTTCACTTGTCTGCTACGTATTATTAGTTGCTGACAATAGAACAATTGTGGAGTAGAGGGGGGGCAGGTATACACCTGTGCCTGTCAGTTTTCAGTATGTCAGGAGACTGACAACTGACAACTGGCCATGCATTGCTGTCTATATATATGACCCGTGCGTCCGTCGTCTGTACAGTGCAAACTTACCTGTGCCGGCAAACAGTGACCTTGCGTCCAGTGGCTATGTGCTGATCGTTTATCTATTCAGAATGATGCATTCGTCGGATGAAGTCAAATCGGAAATCGAGATCTCGGAGTGTGAGGACATAAAAAATAAAAATGCGGTGGAGGCGCTTGTTCTATCCGTGGATAAACTGAAATCTCCGGAGGTGATCGGCGACAATGATGAAAAGGTAGGATGTATTGAGCCAGGGTGTGGAGTGTGGTTGGTCTAGTTGGACTATTGTGGAGACGTGGGTTCGAATCCTGACAATAACTAACGAGTTAGCTACCTAACTTGATTTGGAGCCTAACCTAATCTGAAATTACACATATTTACTAAACAAAAAAGAAAGGTCTATTAAGTGAGTAGTTATTCTGTATTGGTGAATATTCTCCATTAAAAGCCACCTGATAACTAACTATAAAGTATTAACTAGGGATTAAGTATCACTTATTGTTAGTACTTTAATAAATAGATAACAGGGTCCACCGATAACGCTTAGTGGAAATGTATGTTTCAGATGTATCAACCTGTATCGTATTTTTATTTATTATAGCTTTAAAATGCTACACAAAATACTGTAACAATGGTTAATTGTTAACTTTTTTCCCTAGTGGTTTAGTATGGAGAATGAATTTGAAACCGTGTTGGATCCTTTGATTTCTGATGATGTAAGTACTTTTATCACTTGAAAGTGGTCTTTGGGTTTTTTACTGTCTTCTAGAAAGTTTTTTCAATTTTTGAAATAATAACGTTAACCTATTTGTGCTGTAAATATTTTTATTTAACCTCACCATTAATTTTGATGGTTTGATTGGAAATAATTTAATTAATAATATTTAATATTAATACACGAATTTGATTATTTGACTAATTACATATTTACTACTATTGAACGTTGTTTTTCATTAATTATACTTTCTTTAACGCTTGCACGGTTTGAATTTAACAAAGTTTTTTTCAATGAATTAACTTATTTTAATGTCTTACAAAATGTTTGAAATATTGTCTAATCATTTTGAGTGTGGCGAGCCCTCTAACTATTTCTGTAATATAATTTTATTACTGTTGATATTTGTGTTTTACTGTCCAACTAATAAAACTTTTATATTGATTTACAGCTTGATACACCTAACTTTAAAAATACAATTTTTTACATGTCATAAACTTTAAAACCAGTATGGGTTTAAAAGTTTGATTTGATATTGAGACTTTGTGGTTGTATATCTATTATTATTTTCCATTTTAATTTTTCATCGCTTTTTTTATATTACTGTGCTTTCCCGAAGCTCAACCATAGACAAGCTTTAACTTCTCTGCTCTAAAATATACAGACTGCCAATTTTTTAATACTCTAAGCTCTACTACGCTAAGAACTAAATAGCCAGGATTTATTGAACTTAAAATATATGCGAGGTAGGACATGTTTCAAAGTATGTCCTCACTTTAAGCCAATAGCTCTCCATAACTACATTACATTAACTTTAGAGAAACTTTTAAAGCTAATAAGTAAATTCTGCAACCGGTAACATATTTTATTGTTGAATCATCTTTTGGAATTGGTCCAACTGTAAACATAAAATGTTATTCAATGATTTGCAATTCAGGATTTTATGTTGTTGTTGTTTTTATCCTCTTATGTAGTTCAGTTAGTAAACTGTAAGTACTGTAGTACAAAAAAAAACTAACATTAGGTAACAGTGTCAAAGTTTAACGAACTTTTCAAAATACGTAAAGATCAGACGGTAAAATTCTTTTCTCTTTGAACATTTACAGTTTGTACTTTCTTTTTGGTCGTTAAGGTTATTGTTTCTATATTTGCATTAACAGAACAGTGAGTTGCTGATGACCTAAATTGTACTTTTGTGAATCAACTGTTCGGAGTGAATAGTGATGACTTACCCTGACAAATTTGAATATTCATAGTACACCGCCCTACTTGGTAATCGGTTGTTAATATTCATTATGGTAAATCCAAAATCCTCTGCATATCAGTTTGATAAGATAAACTAACTGTCAAAGGACCATTTTGATTGATTAGGGACAATTTTAAATTGTTTGGCTTAATTTTGATCGTTAACTTTCTTACTAATGAAGATAGTACAAACGGTGTCAGCAATCTGACACATTCTTTCTCCCATTAGCTTTTCAAAAACCCTTAACATAGGTAAGCGGCGGAAGTAACTATGATATTTTATGGGTAAAATCACAAGCAACTTTTAAACCATAGTTTTTACAGCAATGGGGGCTGTACTATTTTATTTAGAGGTAAAAGGACTTTAACATACTGAGTTTTAATCAAAATCCATCAAGCCATTTCCATATCCTAAATATTTAATTCAAGTTTAATTTATATAAATTGTTGACTGGCTGGGAAGCTGAGTGTTTATAGTGCTCGCCTAACAATCAAAAGGTTGCCGGTTCGATCCAGAGAAAAGTTAGTAACTTTTTGATGGTTTGAAACTGGACCCAGCTGTTCCTGATCATTGGGCTTTAAATAAATGATCCTGACTGATGAAACAGCTGATCTTGGTCAGCAAAAAAGCTACACAGATCATTTCACGCCATTATACACTCATATTTTGGTTACAATATGCGCTTATTGCGTCCCCATCTCAAAATAACAATGACAATGACAATATAAGATATGAACTTTATTTATGCTGAATTCATTTAATAATGCTAGTAGTACTTTTGTTACTGGAACCCCTACATGACATACTTTAACAATTTTTATGTCTGTTTAAAACTTAAAGTGGTTTATGACAAAATCCCGTGATTGTTATCATTGGAGCAAAATCCCGTGATTGTTATCATTGGAGCAAAAATTAACTCCATAAAATTGTAATGTAACACTAACACAGCTGATCACATTGCACCCAACTTTTCTAGATAAATGGCTACAATGGGGCGATAAAAAAGTCCATTTACTTTTGATAGTTGCATTTTAACTAACATTAATGTCATACTACCGAATTACCCTGGATTTTGAGCAACAGGCTTACTGTTGTTCATTACTACTATTATTGTCAACTAGAAAACAAATTGCAATTGTTATGTGCAAATTCAGTAGTTTTATAAAGTTTAGCCTTAATGCATAAGCTGAAATACATACATACCATTTGTTTATTTTACAATTCAGTTATAAAAGGAATATAGTCAATGTAATATTAAAGTTACGTTGGTTAACAACAAACATGAAGGTACAAACATGCTTAAAAATATCTGTCTCAATATGTAATGAACAATGTTGGGGACTGCTCATTACAAACCACACAGCATAAGCAATTAACAATTGATAATTAAGTATCAAACCATTCACTATTAAATAATTCAAAGCTATTGATTGTTTCCACGCTTTGTGGTACAAAAACCATTACATTTTGTTATTAACATACTAAAACAGCGTGTGTTTTAGCAAACGACAAGGTCTCTTGTAAATTCAGTGTTACGTAACGATGAAGTTGATAATAACAATGTTGGGAATAACTTGTTATTTAAGCTTCCTGTAGAGTGATATTTGTACTTTGAATTAAGCGGACAATTGTTTAGCTGAGAGAACTTCATTGTATGCTAACAAAAACACTGGATGTAAATTTTCACATCAGTGTCATCTGATATAGTTGCAACGTGGAGGATTTTTTCACAGAAATAATATATATATAGTTTTTATTTTGCTATTGAATGTATTATTTATCACCTGTTTATATTTTTTGTTTCCAAATTGGATTGCATGTACAGTCTTTATTTTGTTAAATGTGTTTCAGGACTAGCAGACTTCTTATTGTAAATATTTTGTAAGTTTTGTTTATTTAATTTCTAAATTGGGTGTAAGAGCGTATTAATCTACAATTTAGTTAGAGTTAATTCTCCTGTGTAATCAGGTTCAGCTCCCTTAGTAGTACTTGCTTAATTAACCTACTAACCAATACATAGCGTCAGATATGTATACAACTTGAAATTGCTATTGAGCTCTAGTTTTTGAGGGGAGTGATCTGCAATCTCTTATTTAGGAATTTTGATAAGAGATCCAATTTTGTTATTCTTAGTCAATATTTTAAATTGTATAATTGTTTTTAACGTGGATTTTTAATACTTATTGTGTATGAGCAAAGTTTTAATGAAATTTTAGAAAACATAATTGTGCCGGTGCATTTTATTATATCTTGGTCAGTTCATTGAACAAAAACAAACTTTCAAAGATGTTTTTAAGCCTCGAAGGTTTAGGCTATATATTTCTAAACAGTTAAACCTGTAGGGAAACAGTGAACATCGATGCCTGGAAGAATTTTTAAAGAGGTTTCAAGTTTGTCCATTTACTAAAAAAAATTGTTTTCCATGGAAATACTTTAAACATATTACAAATTGAAATTACTCTTTGGCGAGAAAAAAATATATCAATTTTTGTCGCAAATGACCATCCATTTTTCCTCCATTTTGCAGTGCAAATGAATGGCTATCTTTCCCCACAAGGCTTGAGACATAATTATTGTTTTATTCTTATCAAGCTTCAATTACCTAACCAGGTTTTTGTACTTTTTTCCCCTTTGGTGAAGGTGTTGTAAAACACTTATCAATTATACTTAATTCTGTCTTACATTTGATATTTAAGGTGTTTAAGTTTTTGGTTGGTTTTGAATATATTTGTAGTTACAGTAGCTATGAGGTATATCCAAGTAAAATTTTGTGTCAGTAAAAAATTTATGTAATAGGTATTTGTTTAAAATATCTTAGGAATTGTTTATTTATTGCACGGGTTTATTTATTAGAAAGCTTGATTATGTTGGGAATAAGTATCAGATATCTTCAAGTATTAAATATCAATTAGGCCTAATTATATTTTTTGACTTTTATAAAATATGTTTTTTTTTCAATTTCTATTATAATGGAATGGAACTTTAATTTGCTTGACTACAAGCTCATTTTTTTAACATTTACAATTTATCACCCACCAAAAAATCAATAATATTAGTTTTAATAAAACTACTATCACCTTTAAAATTCTTAAGCTTACAAATTTGTATCCATACAAGTCATGCATATTCAATAACTGTTGATTTTATACTAACAACATTAGCCTACAGTTACGTACCATAACTTACTGTATATATTACTTGAGAAAAAAACCGTCAACCGCAGCAAACTTGCAGACTTGGCATATCCCCTAAAATATTCTCTTAAAATTTATATTTATTCATATTTTAAAATAAAATTATTTTAATGAGTTAGGTTTGCTGCTACAGGGAAGGCAATGATGTGTGTGTGTGTGTGTTTATTTTATATTTAAATGCTGATAGCTTAGTATGAAATAAACAAATTTGCCAAATTCAATCAAAACATATATCCATAAACAAGCGAACTACAACAGTTTTTTTCTTGTCCTTAAGAATTTTAAATGTACAGCTTTTTTTTTAAATTTAACTCTGTAATTATTAGTTACCGGTACTTCAACTCTTCAGTACACAAAAATATTAGTTTTAAGCTCTACAAAATTGTTTAGGAATAAACTGAAAAATTTTATGTCCATAAAACCTTCTATACATCCCAGTTTCCATAATCCGATCATGCTGTTTCAAAATTCATTTGATTAAAAGTAGGTTCACTAGTTAGTACCAAATATCATCCAAATTCATTCTACAAGGATAGTGACAGACAGTTTAAATACCCTTCG